ATTCTTGACCCCCCGATGGGCGTCAAACTGTTTACTCTTAAAATTGGATAATAATTAAAATTATAATGTGACTCTAAGAACACGTGATTTCACTTAATACCAATTGATAAATATGAGGATTAATAACAGAAATGAACTATAAATTAAAGCAAACCAATGTTTGAATGAAACTCAGCCCTCGAGTCCGGATACCCTCGAACTGGTTGATGCAAGAACAATTAAAATATAATAAGCTGATGAACAATAGTATAAACGAGAAAGAGAATTATATTGCTTTTATCTCTGTCAAAAGTCCCCTACAAATGATTAGAACCCCCCTTATATAGTAGAGGAATTTCACTTATGGTATAGTTCTAATTACAGAAGAAATCACATGATTAACTAATTAACCGTTTCTGATTTGATCCGTTTCGAAATTTGCGCCATGATCCTCGACCAGTCACCGAGATTTACGCCGTGATCCTTGACCAGTCACGGATATATCGCCTTTCCGTTATTATGCTATCTTCGATCTTGCTCAATGTCTGTCTCATTTGGCTTCGATCGCTACTAGCCTCGATCTCGACAGGTACCTCGGTTCTGAACTCGGTACCTTGTCCTCGTGATTTAGTTTGTTCCGTTACGAGGCAATCCTTCGATGCAGTCTCCCAGTCTCGGTCAAATAGTAAAATCTGGTGGGCCCGATTTTATACGTATACAAAATCGTTATATCATAAATTGTAACTTTTGTGAACATCTCATATCAAAATTTACATTACGGAGTTGATCCAAACTCGCTGACCATGAAGACCTTTCGTTAGGGAATTTTGTCAAATATATAGGTGGCATCGAAGTTCATCCCTCTTTATTAATATTTTTGTCCTAGATGTCAATTTCCACGAAGCAGAGAACTACACAAAACTCAAAATTCACATACCAATGGGAAACTAGAGGAAAATTATTTTATTATAAATCTCTCTGAAGGATCTCTCTACAGTTTTCACAAATCCACATATAAAATAAGCTCCCAATACCCCTATTTATAATATTACGAAACTTATTTCAACTAAAAATATAAAAACCTATTCCTATATAATATTGACTGCAAATCCTATTTGGATATGAATTAAATAGACTTGCAAATACCAAATCCTAAATAATTTAATTTTGTACTACAACTTTGAATTAGATTTTCAACATTCTCCCGTAATTCAAAAGTTGTATATGTCTGACTTGTTCGTTGTGTTGGAGCACTTCTTTCCAACTTTCACTTTTGTTAAAGTACATGTGTCCAACCCTCGTTGATGTACTTTATCACCAACACACAACTTTGTTGAAGCACTTGTCTCAATTTCCCGTTGATACACTTTGGCACCAATACCTAATTTTGTTGAAGCACCAGTTTTCAACTCCTGTTGATGCACTTTATCACCAACGGTAATCACCCAATAGGTCGTTTTGAGTATTAACTTCTCTTTTTGTGTTTCGAGATCTTCCATAACTTTATTTTATGAATTATAACTTGTGTGCGTAGTCCGTATCAATTTTTTGGTGATGTTGATTTTGAAAGTGGCTTGTGTTGACCACGATCAATATTTTTTGTAAACGACCTCGGCTCGGTATTTTGACGACTCTAGAAGGTTCGTATGATGGTTTTGGACTTGTACAAACTTTTGTTGTGTTTCTGGGTGACCCGAGGCCTTTTCGGTGCTTTATGTGGAAAGTTGGAAAATTTGAGTATGGACTTTGGAAATCTTGAGTTTTGATGGTTGAGTCTTGATTTTATATGTTATTTTGATAATTTGAACTTGCGAGTGAGTTTGTATGATGTTATTACATTTGTGTGAAAGTTCGGATATCTCTTGGATAACTTTCTTGAGGGATTAAGGTCCGATTAAAAACACCAAAAAGTTTTTTTTTAGAATAGTTAGGTAGTATCCCTTGGTTTTCTTTGGGCGCCAGTTCTTTTCCAAGGGTGTAGCTTGAACCGGGTATTTTGATTTTAACTTTTTAGGAGTAGGATAGGAAGAAATCTGAGTTGCTCTAAATACCTATTGACATGGTTGGTGCTGGCACGTTAGGCTATGGCATGTGCTTTGTCTTCCTGTTATATTTGATTTGAATTATAATGACTAAGTGAAATAAATAGCCTACTATGTGATGTCTTTTTCTCAATTGTTTGACTTGTATGTCACCTAGTGCATTATTGCTTAAAAAATTTCAACTATATGTGCTTGCTTGACTTGAGAGTTGAACAGAACCATCTTGATTGAGTCATGTGCAATGTGTGAGTAGAGATTTGTGTTATTATGTGCTATCATGTGTAGTCTAGAACTTGCCATGTGTGTTATTCGAAGCGAAATCATTAAGTTATGCTAGTATAGGAGATGACGTAGGCAATTCTTTGCTTGATCATAGATGTGCTTGTCACTTGCAAATAAAATTTTCCCGTTGCTAGCCTCTTTGAGCCTATAGACCTTTTCCTTGGCACCCACATTATAAGCCATATCCCGATTTTGTTCGTAACTTGAGCTTGTTGAATCTTTACCTCCGAAGGCACTTAGTCGCTAAAATAAGTAAGGTGAGAGATTTGGGAAGTAACTTTCGAGTGGAACCATGGAAGGGCCCATAAGGTGTACTAAAATTGTGAAAAATACCACTAGCTGATGAACCTTAATGTATGGAGTGTGTGTAAGAAAGAAAAAGAGAGAAAAAAGAAAATTGCAAAGAAAAAATTATAAATAATGTGATAGTCAAGAAGAAAAGAAAAAAAAACACCTCCTAATCTTACTAATTCGTGTTAGTGGGAACATAGAAGTGCTTAATTGAAGGAAGAGTTATATTGTGTATGGTTTGTGGCGAGTGAATTGATTGAGAAGATTACGTGCTCGATTATTGAGTGTAGTGTATTAAAGTGCTTAGGAGGGTTAGTCATTATTCCTAAATGTATCATACCCGTCTCTTAGTTTACATTATGTACCATAAAGTCCTAATTGATCCTAGATTTGGCTAGCTTAGATTAGTAGAAATGTACACTATGAGCAAGCTTATGGTATGACCACGGGATGCACATGAATTTCTTTGTGAGAGTGAGCGAATTTTGTTAAATTGTGTGATGTCCTCATTTAATGTTCAAAGTTATACTTGAACGTGTGGACTATATCTATATTCACTGTCTTGTTTGTTGGTGAGGGCATTTGATCTCTTGACGGATTGGTAATGTTGTTAATTTCTTTTGTTGGGTGAGTGCGCGAGTTGAGGGTACTTAGTGGTAACGAGTCAGCTCTTGAGGTAGGGTAGTTATGGATAGGTTGTTTGAATTGGTTGAATTGAATGTGTATACTTGGGCATGTGTAAAACAGGAAGAATGTGAAATTCGTATGTTCATGCTTGATTTCCGGTATCAACCATAGTCAAAGGTAGAGTGTATGATTGAAAAATTGAATTGCTCTTCCCTAGTTGAGGTGTACGTTGTTGGGGTGTAGTTATAGTTCCATTGCTCGAGGGCGAGCAAGAGTTTAAGTGTGGGGTGTTGATATTCGGCTTAAAGTATGTATATTTATATGCATATTTTCTCACATTTTACTCATGTTCGTAGATTTCGGATGTGTATTATAATAATATGTGCTAATTCGTGGTATTTTTATGTGTAGGAGTCATCCGGGAGTAATGTGGGATGAAGGTGTATGATTCGAAGCAAAAAGGGAACAAAGTGAAAAATTGGGACAATGTAGCGCCCAAGCTAGCGTGGGGCACTACCTGTGGTGCAATATCCAGAAGCACCGAAATTCCCAGCACCGGGGATAGCGCCCCACGCTATCCTGGGAGCTGGGTGGTGGGAAGTTGTCCTACTTCGCCCGAAACAAGGTTATTTTGACCCAAGACGCCCCAACTCGTATTAAAGCAAGTCTAAACCTATTTTGGAGGGGAATACGACATTTTGAGAGAAAAACACAAGTACGGAACACTCGTGAGCACATAATTCATCAATTCTTCCATCCTTCATCTAGTATTCATACCTTTTAAGTTTAAAAATAATATTTTAATTATTGTCATGAACATGAGTAATTAAGAAACTCGTTATTCTGGGGTTATGGGTCGTGTTTGACTATTGTAATTTGACAGTTGATTGTGTTGCAGGATTCTATCATATTTATTTGTTTATTCAATCTTGCACTTAATTATTCTATTGCGTAGCTAATAATAGAGTACTATCTACAAATTTATAGTTGAACTCGAAAGTGGGAACTATAAATTGCATATAAGATTGAGTAGAGTAAGTTCTTGAATCTGGGCATCAGAGAATAGATTCGTGATTAGGATAGACATATTCTAGTTGCCTTACTTGATTATTTTTGCAGGAAATATACATGCGTTCTTGTCAAATTTGATTCTATAGACAAATAGTCTTAGGTTTTCTTGAATAAGCGAGCGAAGTGTCGAAAGAACTTCGCGAGCATAATAAACCATGTTAATCAATAGATTAGATAAGTCAAGTGATTACATCAACCGGAAGAACACAATAGGAGAGACGTTAATCCCATAACCCTGCAATATCCCCATCTCATTGAATTCTTTCTAAGTGTTTGTTTGCTCTACTTGCGATCTTATTTTCTTGCTTACTTATTAGTTCGTAGTAATTTAGTTATAAAAATCACAATCGTCGTCTTCACGATCACTTGAGCAATAAATTTATAAATAGTTTAGATTGGACAATAGTTGATCATAAATCCTCGTGAAAATAATACTTTTTCATCACTTTATTACTTATCGACCGCGTATACTTGCATATTTGTTTAGGCCCAACATTTATAAATTGGATAATATTAATGATGTAGCAGTTTTGTTCTAAAAAAACAAACTTAAGGAGTAGTTTTTACTAGACTTAATAGTATGTATCTTTGGCCTCCTAGTTAGAAAAGACCCCTAGTCCCTACAATCGCAGCCTCTAAAGGCGTAGACAAAATCATATCTGTCACGCAAGTTTGAACCTAACAAAAGTACTAATTTGACCAATCGCGGCAATTCTGTCCACAGAAAGAAAAACAAAACTAAGTCTCCCTTCAATAATTTGCCTAATCCACTGATCTTCTTCTCCTGGCTTAGCGCTTAGCATCGGGCAGAGGCAAATATTTTATGGAGTTAGGGGTGCGTTCAAAAACAGAAGACAGATTTTCAACGCATACCATAGTTATACTTGTGAAAAACAAGTTTTGAACCCACATTTTTCAATAAACTCGGAGTCTTGAACCTTAAATTTAAATCTTGGAACATCTCCGCGTGCAGGCATATAAGTGATTGTTTATAGTCATGAGTCGCAACACAGAGCCCCTTCTTGATAATGATCAGCTGGACGGAGAAGAAAAGCAGGCGGTGAGTAGACGTGGCAATAACGACGACGTTGGATTTGTTAAGGAATTTGGTTGGGAGTCGAAGAGGCTATGGGAGCTGGCTGGTCCTGCCATTTTCACTACCGTATGTCAGTATTCACTTGGTGCACTCACTCAGACTTTTGCCGGTCAAATTGGGGAGCTTGAACTGGCTGCTGTCTCTATTGAAAACTCTGTTATTACCGGCCTTGCTTTTGGTGTCATGGTAATTAAGTTATCACTTTCATATATATTTTCTCCGGAGCTCGGAATCAAGATTTCCTTAAAAGGAGTCAAAATATAAAAAATGAAATATATGAAGTCAAGAAGACTCAACGTAGTGTAGTTATACATACAAAACATGTTTACTCAATAATATAATTTTTTGGCAAAAGATTATCAATTCAGAGCTACTCTTCTAGAGTTAAATTTACTTATAAGAAGTTTTTATATTTTCACAAGTATTGCCTTAAAATATTATTTCAGATAGTATATTTTTTTTGTAAAAAGCATGATTTGACTATCTTCAAATTATGATAAGCAATGTGTTAAAGTAGGTAAAACTACAATAATAATGTAAAAAGAACTTTCACTTACAAGGTCAATCTATTCAACTTAAATTCCTCCTGCATTTCCAACTTTGTATGTAGTGAATATTGATTTTTCCTGATCTCAAATACATGGAATGAGATATGGCTCAATAAAACTGAGTAGTTAGAGATGATTCATATATAGTCGATCTTAATTAGTCTCAGATGGCGACATGGTTGATTGATCAATTAACTCATCTGGAATACATAAGTATACTATTGCTGCATGATAGTTACACCCAAACTTTAATGTCTGATTGCTTTAATATAATATTAAATTATGTGAATCATCTTTCTTAAAAGTTTAAATAGTTAGAGTGATAACTTTACTTAATTCATTTTAAATGTGCAAAATACGATCACTTTCTACTATCTTCTTTTATTTTGGCCTGAAGCTAATAAGAATAGCAGCTGTGTATCAAAATATGAATTTAACTACTCTACTTTTTTGTTAGTTCCGTTCTGATAAAATTAAATTAATCAAATGCATGACATGTGTTTCACTTAATAATGACTAATTAATATATATTCTTACCTCATCAAATTACTTACCATGAAAAATTGATATTATTTATTGTAGAAAGCGGTGTAGGTATGTTTTTACCGTATATCCAAGTCTAAATTCTTAACATCAAAGTCAATTTCCCTGCCTCCTTGGTTTTAGCTTCACTGTGTGTCATGTATATTCGATTTACTCGACATTAAAGTGTTTCAATTTCTCAATTATTATATCCTGGACGGTTGTGATCTTAAAGTTTTTAAGATTTTAACGTTTATTTTGCATTTTCTTGTCACAATGCTCATATTAATTTGAGACTTATAACTTAAATACTCCTAGATATTCTATCCATCTATTTAACCGTAAAAAGAATTAGAATTTAATGCTAAAGATGCTGAGAAAGGTCATACAGTGATTAATTTAAGCTAACAAACAGAGTTGCAACTCGAATTAATTACCAGGGTAGTTGGCAAAGTGACCCACTTTCAAACTTGAATGGGCTAAGTGACCTTCAAGTTTTAATTATTGTAAGATTGACCTTCATGCTTAACTAGTGCTTAAGTGAGATTATAAAGTGAAGGAAAAAAGTTCAGTCTTTATCCCTAAAGTTTTACTTATTACACTTTGGTCCCAACCTATATAATTCTAATATTTTCAGATTTAAAAAAAAAATCCCATCCCTTCCCGTCGTTTCTGCCATCCCAACCCCCATTTCCCACGGCTGATTCCTCTATTGCAGCTTGTTTTTCTTGCATTCAACACACAGAGGTCGTCTCGCTTCTTACCCATTCCTTTCAAAGCTTCATTCTTTTGATTTATCATTTACGGAGTAGAAATCAAAAAATTGGAGGGTTTTCTGATATGTCGAATTTGGAGATGAAATTGGCAGTACACTGGATTTATAATTCATTCTAGGTGGTATATTGTGTAACTCTTTCATCTGGTAAGTGTTTTCATCTCATCTTCTTCGTCATTGTTAATCTGAGTTTCTGCAAATTTTATATGCATAGTGCTCGACCACTAGTGTACAATAGACCAATGGTTCACAATAAACTTGTGAAAGATTATATATTAGTATGCGGTCTATATTCTGGTGAATGGGTTGAGTGGCCAAATAGTTGGAATTGTAATTCGCATACAAAGGTTACAGTACCTATTTGAATACCCAGCAATTGTACATTTGACAAATTTATTGATGTCATCATTTGTCTATAAGGCATTTGAATATTACATATATGCTTAACTCTATGCCGAAGAGGGACAAGATTCCTCTTCCTTCATTAAGAATGACAATGATTTGCAATCGTACCTCCTTGATGTTACAATTGATGGTATGAGACCTTGTTTGAAGATATTTGTGGCTGAAAATGAGTTTGAAGAAGGGGCTGAAGTTTCTGTTGAAAGATCTCATCAAGGTTCAAACGCCGCAGCTACACCACCACCAACAACAACACAGCCACAAATTTTAGAAGTAGAGAAGGAAAGAATTGTGAAAGATGGCTTCGATGGATTTAGTCATGACTTGCATTATTTTGGTGACAATGAAATGAACTCGTACGGTCCGGAAGATGCAGATGGAGCGGAAGAGCTCCCAGATATTGTCAGTTGGGCAGCTGGAGATGAAGGCTTGGTGGACTCGTTAGCTACACAATACAACCACCCTGATGGTACAGGTCTTTTCCTTGGAAAATATTTCGACAACAAATTAGATCTAATGAAATAGTTGGAGGTTACTTCTGTGAAAATGCATTTTTCGTATGAAGAAGAATAGCAGTAAACTAACTTCGGTGACATGCCCAGATGTAAGTTGCCCGTGGAAGTTATGCGCTTTAAAGTACGAGAATTCTTATAGATTTTTTTTATTACCAAGTACCATGGCGAGCACACATGCGAGTTATAACACATATCAAGTCGTCATCCTAACGCGTCGTCGAAGACTTTGGGTGCATATTACAAGAAAGGGTATGTTAATGGCAAAGGCCCATCCTCGTCGGATCTGAAGGATGCTATTTTTGCAGATTTTAACCAAAATCTTACTTATTGTCAAGAGTCGAGAAATGAGTCAAGAGTCGAGTGCATCCTTTGGGTCGAGAAAGTATTGTCACTTCGGCATGGCTGCCAGTCAATTCACAGCTACAACTCCGGTGAATGCTGGTAGGCGATTCTCAAAATGTTCCAAACCTAAGGTAAGATAAATTTCACAGATTCGCCTCTTTTTAATTTTAGGGATTCAATTTTACTGATAAATTATTTTTCTATTTCATTTGATAGGGTAAAAGATGTTAATTTTGGGAATGGAATGATGATATGCTAGACCCAAGGATTGCTGACCTTATCAGTAGTTTGAAGTGTGAAAAAGACGCTCTTAAGCATGAAATTATTCTGCAGATGAAGGTGGCTGAACTTGAAAATATAATATCAATGGATGATCATGAGGAAGATGATGATGATGGAGGGATTGAACTGGAGGAAGGGCATATTCTTGTAAGTGATTATGTTGGAGGGATAGTTAAGATGAATGAAATGAGGCGGAACAAGTGGGTTATACTATTGTGCGTCATTGTCGGATTCGTAGCAGCATGGATGATGAAGTGAGAAGGAATATTGGTTTGTTGTTAGTAGGAATAGTTTAATTACTGTAAGTTTGTTTTGTTGGAAGTCTTTTGGATCATGTGATGTTGTACTAATGTAATGTTATATTTGATGAAGTTATTAGATGCGACTTTGAATCTATTATGCAACCAAGTAGCAAGTTTATTGATAGACTCAGTGTCTATTACGCAACCAAGTAGCTAATTTTTTACTAGAGACATTGTCTATTACGCACCCTCTAGCTACATGTTGTAATACAAAAAGGAAGCGCTAAAGAAACAAAACTTACAACATCAATAGTTAATCGGCAAAAAGGTAGTTTCATTACATAGAGGTAGATGCAAATATCACATATTACTACAAGTTCACCCTAAATGAATTTGTCCCATGAACAACACAAATATAAATTATAAGAAGGGTTCATCCCTCCCCCGAAGATATCTACTGTAAATTTTTCCCTAAACAACTCATTCGCTTGTCATTAAGCTGCACCAGCGGCGTATCAGTTAGGAGGAAGTCAATGACCTTCATTGCATATGCTCCACTACTTTCACTACAATAATCAAAGACACAATTAGTTATTAAAGAAACCAGAAGAATGAGTAAAATATAATGGATGACACATTTAATTTACCTTTGCTGAATGGATGACACATCCATAATACGCTCCCGGGACCATTTCTTCGTAAGCACATCTTGGCCTAAGTCTGTAAACTAGCCAGTTTTCATCAAAATCCTAGGCATCATGAGAGCGAGGGGCAAGTTCTTCTAGTTTACCATCATCATACAAACTGACATTGCTATCGTAAATTCAAATCAAACCCTCTGCCAAGTGAAAAACAACAAGCACAAAATACTTGTTATCAATTTGCCACACACAGTACAACACCTTAGCCTTGCACCACTCCACATCCCCAGGTTTTGGCATACTTCTTTTGAGGATATAGCATTAGGAGTGTAAGGCACAAGTCTTGGCAAGCATCATCTGTCTCACAAAAGTCCAAATCCTTTCTCTCTTTACTGGCAGCCTCCTTGTTCTTATCATATGCAGTTTACATGTTGTTGCATAATGCAACATCCATAACAACATGACTAAATTGTAAAATACAGAGCACAGAGCTAGTCCAAGAAGCAAATATAACCACCCACGTCATATAAGATATGGTTATACACAACCCAATCGATGTTGAACATGCACATGAACGAATCTCTCTACAAAATCCCAAATCACAAATGTAAGAAACGAAAAAAAAGAGAATTTAGAATTTACCAAAATTGACACGGTCTGAGCAACAACACAGTGCTTGTTGGGTCTATAGAGACGATTCCACTCAAAATCGAAACTTGATTCTTGTCCCTTCCTGCCAGAAACCATCGTGGTCGAGGGGTTGAGTGAGAGAGAGAAGAGAGAGTAGAGAGATGAAAGAGAAAATGGCGGAAAAATTAGAAAGAAAGCTTGTTTTTCAAATCTTATAGGTGACTCACAAGTTTTGGAAATATTAAAAAGGCCCCAACCACCTTAACCCGCTCATTTAGCCATTTTTTAATCCAAAAGAAATTGAGAAAGAAAATAGGAGGTTAATTGACCAATTTAAGTTTTTTGGAGGTCTTCTTGACAATTCCTCTCTAGTTACCACGTGCAAAACAGCAATTTGAAAAAATGGATGAGTTTCGAATGATTTGCATAAGAATGGATAATTTTTATCCCATATATCTCAATCAGGTATTTTAAAACCTTAAATTCTTATCAAGACATTAACGGGAAAACTATCTAATATATCACACGTATATTGCTTGCTGCAAGTTCCAGTTAAGATTAAAGACACTATTTAAATTGCACACGTTTTTGCATTGCACCCTCTTGGGGTAAAGCAATTTTAAGATTTCTTGCTTTTGTAGAAAAGACACTATTTAATTAGTTCCAATATTTTTGTGTGTTTAAACATCTATACAATGATTATGTAAAAGAATTTTTTATACTATAAAATGTAACTATATATTGGACCCAGGATTCGGCGGTCGCGGGGCACCATGACATTCAATATAAATTTATCACTGCTCATAAAGATTGATACGGAGGTATTTGTTAATATTTGACTATTCGTTGAAGACATTTACAAGTATACATGGAGTTTTTGCTGAAGTTTCCGGGTGCCGGTGATCTCTCAACCCATAATGTGCGTCTGCCTCTGTATATATACAAACCATCTATAAAGAGAGAAAACAATAACCTGAAAAATAAGACATATTATCTACTACAACATATTACAATACACTAATAGCATAAAACCTTATAGATTTTCAGAGTTCAATTTATTTCTTTTCTTTGTGAGTGCTAATAAAAAATTGGCAGCTGGGGATGGGAAGTGCATTGGAGACATTATGCGGGCAAGCATTTGGTGCAGGACATCTGAGGATGCTGGGAATATACATGCAAAGATCTTGGGTTATTTTGCTCACCACGGCTTGTATTTTGGTTCCCGTTTATGTCTTTTCTCCTCCAATTCTCCTTTTGGCTGGTCAAACCACTCGCATCTCAAATGCTGCTGGTCAGTTCCATCCAACAAAGCTGGCAGCAGGATGCAATTTATAGATCCAACAATTAACTTATCCTAGTGCATGCAGGAAAATTTGCTTTGTGGATGATACCACAATTGTTTGCTTATGCAATGAACTTTCCAATTCAGAAATTCTTACAAGCTCAGAGGAAAGTGTTAGTGATGGCATGGATATCTGCTGGTGTTCTTGTGCTACATGTCCTTTTTAGCTGGTTATTCATACTGAAACTTAAATGGGGATTAATTGGAGCAGCTGTCACTCTGAATATCTCGTGGTGGCTCATTGTAATTCTACAGCTTCTCTATATCTTTGTCACCAAATCTGATGGAGCTTGGACTGGTTTCTCATCCTTGGCATTTCAAGACTTGTTTGGATTTGTCAAGCTATCTTTGGCCTCTGCTGTCATGTTATGGTATGGTAACTCTCCCACAAGTGAATAAATAAAATTTCGTCTAAAACAATTGTTTATGGACTTTACTAATTGCAGCTTGGAGTTCTGGTATTTGATGATACTGATCATAATCACAGGTCTTCTGCCTAACCCTTTGGTGCCAGTTGATGCTATGTCTATATGGTATCATCTTCTCCTCCTCTTTTTCTTTTTAAATATAAAAAAATGTATGTCCAAGCAAAACTCTTAATTCATCCTTTGAATCTGCGAGCTGTCTTTACTTTTCAGTTATTCACTACTAACGTTTAATATTGCTTTTCAGTTATTCACTACTTGACGTTTAATAAGGATACAGGCTATTAATTTAGATAGAGAAGCCAAATATGGAGCAACAATTGAAAAGCAATGCCTTGATGTCAGGAATCTTGGGTCTTTCCAGTCTTTCTGTTCAATCTATGGCCTTCAAACATAAAGTTGTAAACATAAATTAGTGCATTTGAGCTGATTTAGACTGAAGAGGATTAACTAAAATCTTCCATATTTTGAAAAACGAGTCATTAAATTTATTTTGTTGATGGAGAATATCTTTGTTATGTTTCTACACATCATATTGGAGGATACACATCTGCTAACACAAGTCTCTAATTCTTTTTTCAGCATGAACATTAATGGATGGCAGGCCATGATTTCTTTAGGATTTAATGCTGCCATCAGGTAATAAACACTCTGTTCCAAAGCAGAACAACATCGCACTAGCTAATCTATTAGATACTGCACATGTAGTGTTTGTAGTAGTATAAGGTAGAAGAGAGAAATGGGAGAGTTTGAGAAGTATTAACTCAATGATTAAATCTTGATTGTAGTGTGAGAATATCAAATGAACTTGGAGCTGGTAATGCACGACTTGCAAAATTTTCAGTGATTGTAGTCTCCTTAACATCAACTGTCATAGGAGTAGCTTGCATGATTGTCGTGCTAGCAACAAGAGAATATTTTCCCTACCTTTTCACTAACAGTGAAGCAGTTGCCAATGAGACAAAGAAACTGGCAATGTTGCTTGCCTGGACAGTTCTATTAAACAGCCTTCAGCCTGTCTTATCCGGTAACCATGTTAAATAAATAACTTTCAATTTCCCATGTTTATCATGACTACATTACCGATCTTTGTCAGTTATAAGGGCTATTCTATTCTTTCTGATAAAGAGTTAAATCTCATTTCCCTTAATTTCTTGTTTTTGTTTTGAAAATTAAAGGTGTTGCTGTTGGAGCTGGATGGCAGGCACTTGTGGCATATATTAACATTGCCTGTTACTATATTGTTGGTTTGCCGGCTGGTGTACTTTTGGGCTTCAAATTTGATTTTGGAGCTATGGTGAACTTCTAAAATATATATCCCGAATTCAACTTCAAGCAGTCAGACATACATAACTGTACGTTGATAGTAGTGAAAACTGTATTATCCAACTAATACAATGTTGTTTTATTCTTCCAGGGAATCTGGGGTGGGATGATTGGAGGCATTTGTTTGCAGACCATTATCTTAATAGCTATTACAGCAATGACAAACTGGGAGAAAGAGGTCAGTGTTGTCTCTCTTTTACATGCTATGTGGAGTAGTATTATTTATTCCTACCCTTCAAACAGCACAGGAGCTAGGAATTCAAAAATATTGCAACAACATACAGATCGTATAGTAAACATAAAGCACAATTTATGTATGTAAAGAAAATTTCGTTTTTATCCTATTTGTCGGGCCATATAGCTCTGCCTTTGCTTCAACAATGCTTCAGTCCATTAGGATATATATTTAACATGAACTGACGCATTAGTCTTATAATTTTGCAGGCAAGTCTAGCTGCAAGTCGTGTAAAGCAATGGGGAGGAGCAGCTGCAACTGACTAATATGATCGCGCAGCTATATTGTTTTTGTAGCAGCCATTTTTATCATTTCTTAATTATGAAATCAGAGATGGGTTCTGGTTCGACAAGTAATAAAAAGTATTATTGCTTGTTGACTACAACCTCATCATACCCTCTCTTGTCCCGTCGTTTTAACAATCCATCTCTACCAAATTCAGAACTTAACGACGGAAGCTCTTCAGTTGCAAGGCTATTTTGAGCCGCATGAATATGAACTACTTGAAAGTTTTCTATGATAATTTCGACCCGCTTTCGTTCTAATAGTATAAGAATTAATGCCTAAATTACTGAGAGCGACAATCTTGTACTGTTTAACTAATATATTAGGTAATAGATCAATTATAGATAGCGAATTTTATGCTAAAATTGGATTTACTTACCTCTACATAAAATGTGACATCCCTATACATGAAAATTGGACATCGCTGGACTTGATAAGGATGACTTGACATTCTCATCAAAGCTGGTAAGATATGACGGAAGGATTTTCCAAGAGTTACATTATTTTCCTTCTCTTCTTTCTCTAATTGATCTATCTACGGCATATGTGACGAGAATTTAAGAGTCAACCTGTAATGTGGCGAGGATATCACCAGCGAATTCAAAACTTGGCCTTTTGTACTCACCAACTCATATCTCATGAACTTAGACTCTATAATCATTAATCCAATGCTATAATCAATAAGAGGATACAAACATTACCTTTTGACGTTCAATCCTCTTGAATTCGAATTCTAGGGTTTCTTCTCTCAACAATGATGTCTCGATCGAATATATGATCTGAATGATTTCCTCATGTTAATAAGATGTTGGAAAATTGAAATTAACTTAGAATCACCATTAGAACTCACCTTGGATGGTGGAGGGACCTTTGAGCAGTTAGGTTCTTAAGAGCTTCCCTTTCTAGAGCAAATTTTGTGCTTTGGGGTGTGGGGGGGGGGACGAGGTAGGGATTATAAAACGACTTCCCGGGTGCGTTCCCGCGCACCTGAACACGCAGCAGGGCAGTAAAACTGCCACAAGTGTGCGGCTACGCACGGGACCATTAACTGTCCAGTAAAACGCACATAACTTTTTGCTCAGAAATCCGTTCGGGTTGCACAATATATCGTTGGAAAGCTATTTCAAAGAGGTACAACTTTTATATTTTCCTAAATTCTCGACAGATTTTCACGAAATCCTGATATAAGTCAGACCTTCCATAAACTTAGTCGATTTTATCGAATCTTATGCACCACACTCTCTGTCTTGATTCCAAAACAACTATTTCCACCCATACTCATCCTGATGGGACTTCACATGTCTAAAATATCACAACCGCCTGCTACTGAAAACTTGAATGTCATACCATGACACATGAAGTACTGGGTATACAACCGCTAATTCTGGTGGCAACTCCAACTCATAAGCTATTTGTCCGATCTTTCGCAGGATTCTATATGGCCCAATATAGCGGGGACTAAGATTTTCCTTCTTCCCAAATCTCATAACGCCTTTCATAAGCGAAACTTTCAGAAACACCTAATCATTAACTTGGAACTCTAAGTCTTTACGCCGCATGTCTGAATAGGACTTTTGGCGACTCTGAGTCGTCTTCAAACGCTCTTGAATCAACTTGACTTTCTCCACAGCCTGATAGACTAAATTTGGTCCCAACAACCCTGCTTCGCCAACTTCGAACCAACCAATTGGCGACCTACACCTTTGCCCACACAGAGTCTCGCATGGTGCCATCTTGATACTAGAATGGTGGCTGTTATTATAAGCAAACTCAATGAGTGGTATGTGATCATCCCAATTGGATCACCCTTTCAAAATGAATGATATAATCTTGTTATAAAGTCTATATTTACCATCTCCACTCATGAATATGTGTAAATTGTGGTAAAACACTGGCTTTCTGGTGTTCAACTTTCAATTGCTGAAAATTCGGGCACTTGGCGACAAAGTGTGCGACGTTCCTTTTCATGTTGTTCCACCAATAAAGCTCCTTGAGCATGGTACATCTTTTGGGAACCTAGATGGATAGAATACCTGAAATTATAGACTTCTAACATGATCCTCCTTCTCTAAGTCCATCTATGTCTGGAACACACAATCTGTCTTGGTACCTCAAAGTACCATCATCTACCCCTCGTACAAAAGCCACTATCTTATGCTTGTGAATCATCTCTTTCACCTGCAACAAGTAGGGATCATCAAACCGTTTCTCCTTCACTTCGGCTACTAAGGAGGAGCAAGTCTTGTTCTGGACAACAACTCCACCATCTTCGGAGTTCGAAAGTCGAACTCCTAGCTTGGCTAAGCGGTGAAATTTCACTATAGTTCTCTTGTCTGTCTCAATCATGAGCTATACTTCCCATATTTGATTATCTTTTCAAGGTACTTCCTGAAAATATTTACAGCATTGTTGTGACCTAAGTCTTTGACCAATACTCCGAAGATTAGAGTCTCGTCCAATGGCACTACCCTCGTGATACATAAATGGGCATGATTTTATAGTTTTTATATCCCATGCTAACTATGCGGGTTTCAAATCTCCAACTGGACTTACTGACGATTTTCACATCTCCCCCTTAGACCAAGGGTTAAGGTCTTATACTTGCGGATCCTTCTCTTTTATTGGGATCCGAACAACTTTCCTTATCTTCTGCAATTCTTTGCACTTTATATCAATGACAACTCATCTTCTGACTTACTTCTAATCAATCTTTCTTACTAGGAAAAACTAAATTACTTACATAAACGGAAAGCTAATGTATTCACAAGTTATGCTTAGATTAGGCATAAACACTGCTTTATTTGTTTTTCCCTTTCTTTTTGCATTTCATTGTTTAGTAGATGTTCTCATCGGCAATAAAGCTTCTTTCATTTCACTTTATATTGCGCGTTCTTATTAATGTTCCCTTTTCTTCTTGCCTTTTTTTAATGTTCTTCAACGATTAAGACTTGGTAGTTTATCCACGTATTCTAAAGAAAACCCTCACTTTTCTTTTTTATTAAGGTGACTGAACTTAGAGTAAAACTCTAAGTTGCTTACGTAACTCGGTGAAGAGGATCAAGTCATTACGTAGTTCATAACAACTGAGATTTTTTTATATACTTTATGGATTTTAAAACTTGGCGGACTTGAAGACGGTAACTTTAAAACCTAGCCGGCTTGAACACTTCAAATTGATGATGTAACAAACTTGGAAAAATCAACTTGACTTAGAATCAAAGACTTCAACTTGAATATTTAGTCTCTTATTAAAGAAACAACAATCATTCTAGTAAAGACCTCAATTTGACATGGAGGGCTTGCCCTCATTGAGCCATCAAGATAAGATAGAGAGTTGAACGAAAGAATACAGATACACCTAATTTTCAAGTGTCAATCAAGTGAATTATATTTCATCATACCTCATTTGAATAATGCCTTGGGTAATATGTATTTTTGAACTAATATGACTGAACTTAGAATTAAATTCTAAGTTGTCTATGTACCTCGGTGAAGAGGATCAAGTCATTCTGTAGTTCGAAATGGGTGAGTTTTTTTGTTTTTTTTTGTTTTGAAATGCCCTACCTTTTGCCTAGGCCGCCTCTTTTGAGGTTTTCAACCCAGCAAACTTTTTATTTTGTGGGCTGTGCACAGTTTATACTCTTGTGGTCCAAGAGTAACATGCAATTTATGCTCGTGCATTAAGGAGCATATTTGTTTTCTTCAAGGATAGTATCTCTTCAAGAATTTTCCATTGTTGGAGCCAATCCGCAAACCTTCTGAGTCAACTATCTTGTAAGCGCCACTTGAGTATACCTCTTGTACAACATATGGTCCATCCTACTTAGCAGAGAATTTTCCCCCAGATCGACGAGAGGTAATAATAGACCTTTTGACCACAAGAACTTGGTCACCCACTTGGAAAGATCTAAGGCGCACCTTTTTGTTAAAAGATCGAGACACACGAGCTTGATAACATTCAAGTCTTTGTTGAGCTTCTAGCCTCTTTTCATCAAGAGCTTCCAATTCTTCAGGCGTAACCGAGCATTTTCTTTATCAGTGAGTCCTTCTTGAATGGCAAGCCGCAACGACAGGATTTGAAGCTCAAGTGGAAGGACTGCTTCAACTCCATAAACAAGTGAATAAGGAGTCGCTTGCGTTGGTGTGTGATATGTGGTCCTGTATGCCCAAAGAGCTTCTTCCATTCTCTCATGCCAATCTCTCTTAGACATAGAGACAGCCTTTTTCAACAAGTTGTAGAGCATCTTGTTAAATGCTTCAGCAAGTCCATTGGCAGCAGCATAATACATGGAGGAATTGCGTTACTTGAAGCCAAAAAGATCACATATTTTATTCATCAACTTGTTATCAAATGGCTTACCATTGTCCGTCAATATTAACTCGGATGAAGTTAGCCACATTTCCCTTCTTTACTTCCTTAAGAGAAACAGCTTCAGCACACTTCGAGAAGTAATCAGTCGCGGCCAAAATGTATAGATTTCCACCATAAGACTT